AGAGCTCAAATCACAATTCAGAATGGGGTTTAAGATGTCGCTATAGCAATGAAGAGCCCAAAGTCTATTTCAATTTATCTACATTCGCGGCTTTTGCCTAGTCGGTGTTAGAACTACTCTGTATTCATGATATGAATGTAACTTGGTTGAGTTATGTATCCTCATGAGACACTCATTACATAGGGATCTGACATCAGTTGGTCAACCGGATCCCATGGTCTTATTTTGACACCTCTTTCTGATGCCATATCCATGAACGAAGTCCAGTCAAATGTTGGGTCGTTCACGGCAATCGTGTCGAGGTGAGGTAGAACGGTAACCGACTTTGCCCTGAGGATTACAGTGAAGCATTCGATGATTTTCGCGTTTACGCCGTCTTCATAGCGTTGCGGACTTCGAAGGAGTAGAGTCTCCAGAGACGAAGGTAGTCGGTTAATAATGTCTCCCGGGTCCTGGTCGAATAAGAGGTCCCAACTAATGGATAACTCCACGAGAGATGTGAAATTGGAGAATGAAAGGATTCGGTTTGGCACAAACACGCTACCACCTAGTTCTAGAGCTAGTTTCTCGATGGTACTCGAAACGTTATTGATTGCTTCTTGAAATCGCCTTAGCGAACGAGGAGTTTCTAACCACCTCCGCTCGATATAAACAAACTTTGTGAGAGACCGTGAAAGCCCCAATAGAGTTGTAATAGTATTTTCCGAAACCATGGATTCGGAGATTCGTAGCGTTTCTACGTTGGAATGTGGGTGCGCGCTACTTTGGCTTGGAGGAAATGGCAACGAAGTATCCCTAGGCTCAATTCCTGATCCTATCCGAGAGACGGATATTTCTTTGATCGATGGAATCGACATTAACGAAGTGAGAACCTCTACATTCAAAGACATCCAGCCACAGCGATCTACCTCGAGGTACACCGAGCGCAGAGATGGACTGAGGAAGTGTGGCTGAAAAATTATTGGGGCATGAGCGTTGAAATCTTGACGGTCTTTCGAATCTTTGAACTGGATAGAGAAGCCCTCCAATTTCGTAAGTAGGGGCAACAGGCACAGCGCCACGGCCCAGTCAGCGTCTTCAGTCTCTCCTACCTTTTTGATGAGGGCTGCCGGTAAGGAAAGCTCCTTCAATTTCTCTAGAATCTTTGACGTGTCAGACTCGGTGATTTGGCCTTTCTTGATTCTCAGATTGCGCCGGAACGTGTTATCGACACCGATAGAGATCCTCCTCACAAGGGATCCATAGTGCGGAGAATCAACCAAACAAAGGATAAATGGATATATTCGATCTGGTGCATTTAAGCGCACGTCATGATATAAAGAGGGAAGGGTGATACGTCGAAAGCGTTTATTGCACATGGCTAGGTTTTTGAGGGCCCAGTTTAGGGCGTGGTGAGAGCCAAACGGATCCCACATAAGGAGATTGACAATATTCTTGACGGTCTCGTCTGTGATTTTGTCGAAATAGCTATTCGGCGCTGCCATATATTGAGACATGGTTGGGTTTAAGGAAAGACCGCCACATGTATTTAGACGCCGTTCTGGATACCATTATCCCCGCAACTGAATTCCCCCCAACACTTGCACATTAAATTTACTACATGAGATACGGTGGTCTATGCTCACACCCGTGCTCGCATCCCTTCTAGCTTAGTATAGTCAACATAGGTGCCTCTTACTCTTTCGCCTCATCTATTGTCATCAAGGAAATAATATCTAAGAACTATTTCATTTGTTAGGCTCTAAAATATCTTGGTTTATATGGCTATCGATAGGCTCGTGTACAGGGATTTTGGTCTGTAGTAGTAATTCGGACATTCTTTCATTGGTTAGTACTCCAAACGTATAGAAATAATCGTGGCTTTCAGTTGAACCTATCAATCCTTACCCCATTTTCTACTGCCAGGTCTTCGAGTGAGCTCCAATCGAGCTGTCCATACAGAAACGGGACCGAGATAAGGCTAAGACTTGTCGCCGAACCGCTCGAAAGAATGGCCCTAAAACACTCTGTGATTATGAAATCAGTATCACCGTCCCTCTGGTGGTCTATAGTACTGAGGGTCAGACTCTCCAGAGAGGGAGGTAGCCGATTAGCGAAAACTTGCAGGTCGCCGTCGAATAAGACGTTATAGCAGACCGAAAGTTTC